TGACAAAGTGAAATGAAAATCAGTTTTTCAACAACACAGGTCTATTCTGTTGCTTTAGAAATGGTAGCAGCCGGTTTTCCATGCACTCCTGGATGTAGATCTCTTGATTGATGGTTCCCGTAGTAATGAAAATGCCGCTTTTTAGACCACACGTGCATATGGCCTGCCAGACGAGATATTTTTTCGGGAACTTCGATAGTTTGATGGTTTTGAAAATTTCAGCCAACTTCCATTTTCCTGATGCGGTATAAAATTCCTGTCCCGGAAGCTGCTTGAAATCCGCCTTCACATAAGTTTCGTCGTCCATGACGACACAGTCGAACTTTGTGAGCAGATTCGTATTCGGGACCGCAGCTTTGCCGACGTGTTTTGTTTGTAATCTCGGTTCGCCACCTTCAACTTCTTAAACGTCGACAACCCGGCTCGTTTCTTTACCCACTGCACAGTAGTATGAGAGACATTGAGCTTGCCAGCGACGACCCGGATGGAGAGTAGACTGCCAGCGAAAATGGTAATTTTTAATTTCGCTAACAAACCATATACACAATGTTTATTGCCTCGAAAAATGACCCTATGCAAAATTTGAGCTCAATCGGACATGATTTAGGGGTGGCGCAAACGCGTCAAAGTTTGACTTTTTTCACTCTAGAAAATCTCCCAAGAGGGGAAATGAAATTTCGGAAATCAAAAAAAAAATTTGATGCCAAATGTCTTAAAAATGCATGAAACGTCTAAGATTTGGTATTATCTCGAAAAAAATTTTTTTTTCAAAAATCGACTTTCTGGGTCTTTGAGTTTTTGTCATGAGTTCTATATGGAAATAGAAGATTGATGAGTCGGCTTCTAAAACTGTTCACAGTTGTCTCCAACCTGCTTATATATCGAATTAAACCACCATTTAGGATCTAATACGAAATAATTCACTAGGGTGGTCCAATTATTCTTCATTAGGGTGGTCCAAAACTCAAAATAGGTATGTAAAAACCATTACTTTTTACCAAACGCATGTATCTGAAAATATCATCATGTTGTGTTTTGGATTAAGAATCCAAACTTCAAAACATTTGACGATATTACTTTTTAGTATCTGAGATCACGTAAAATAGAAGCATAGACAGACATAAATCGTAGAATAATTCCGAAAATTGTACAGGACAACCGTTAGTGCTGTTTAGTTTACAGTACAATCTGACGAAAGTACAATGACTTTTTAACATATCCACCTAAGACGGGACAACCCTTTATATGTGTTTCTTTTAAATTCCTACCCTATAGAGGTGCCAAAAAAGTACCCGCATAAAGCATATTGTTTATCTGGCTTCCTTTTGGGTATTAATTAAAAAAACACACACTAACAGTGTTCTCCTACAGGCAAGCAACGGTCTCAAGTACTTATTTCTACGTAAACTTTTCTACCTTAGCTTTTTCTACCCATGCTTTAGTATAAAAAAGGATGCGATCTGAGGATGTATGATCAATCAGTAGTGCGTTTGAAGAAGACAACAAGCAGAGAACTGAACGTTCGGTAATCAATTTTACAGTTTTCCTTTAATTATTTACATATATCTGTGAAAAATTCACAGATATTTGTAAAAATTACAGGAAAACTGTAACATTGTTAACCGAACGTTCAGCTGTTGAGATTTCGGTAAAATTTTACAGAAATCTGTAAAACATTCTAAGTGTGTAGTGAATGGTAAATAGTGCATCCGGAATAAAGTGCAAATTAAGTTTAAAAAAATTACGATCGTGCAGGTAAGGATAAAAATTCTTGACCACGATCAATGGATCACCGACTAATTTCGTGAGTAATTGATTACTTAGCAAATCTAATTATTGTCAGCGATAGCGCGTATTTTACCGTGATTTGATTGCAGGTTTGGGGCTGTTCATAAGCTACGTAGACAGTTTAGGAGGGGGGGGGGATTGACAATTATCCAAGGCCCATAAAAATTTGAAAATTTTTGTATGGACAATTATCTACGGGGGTCAAGAATCCCAAAAATCTGTCTACGTAGTTTATGAACAGCCCCTTATTTGTTGGGGACCGTCCCGACCGATTGTTGTTGACTTCTACTTGCCCGGTAAACGTACTCTTTCCTTCCTTCCTTGTAGAATCCGTATCCTTTCCTCGACCAAATCCTTTTGTCATCCGTAGACCTTCCTTCACCGCATACAGAACACTACACCCTTTTTCACAAAATACCGTTTATTTTACAACGGCACAACATTGATTTTATTTACTAGACACTACATTTATTCTTACTAATAACTAAACAAAATGATTTCGTACGGGGTTCGCCCCCGATCGACTACTCGCGACGGTGTACTTTTTAGACTAATGTCGTTTTCGTTTTTGCGGTGTAGCACTGGTGTAGTGTAAGCAGAAATAAGCGCGAGCCTTTGACAGCTCAACATCATTTGTTTGTAAACAAAGGAGCATCCTATATCTACACCCTAAAATATTTCGGTGTACGGCAGTGTAGCACCGGTGTAGCTACACCGCAAAAACGAAAACGACATAGCTTATTTCCTATTTTACATTTCTATCTCCTAATCCTACTTCCCACATTCTTCGACGAGAAACTCTCTCCTTCTCCGTGCAGTTCGTCCGTAGTAGTGAGTGACCGCGGCGAATCGGTTCACTACCACTAGCCACTACACTCAACCGATTGGTAGCACCGTGGAGTAGCTAAATCCCAGTCAGTGCATTTTCAATTGGCTGCATCCGCTGTTTTTTTTGTTGCTCGCAAACATTCTCACCCACCCTGAAGTTACCGGGGAAACTTCTGAAAATAAAGAAAGAAAAGAACTCTTCTCGACGCACTGGACCACCGACTCAATTTTGATCTGAGGATTGGTTTTGATTTGGTGACGGTAGTAAACACAATTTTGCTACCGGACGTTTCATCGAACCGGTTGATGTCCGTACTGTAACGACGCGAGTGACTCCATCGTCACCTGGGTAAAGTTCTTGTATACGGGCCATCTTCCATTGTGTGGGTGGTTGATTTGTGTCGACAATAACAACAAGTCGATTTGCATTTCTTCATTTGCATGCTGGTTGCCAATGTTTTGATCGTGATTGAAGCTGTGTTAAATATTCGCGACGCCAACGTATCCAGAAATCTTGGAGCTGCCGCTGGACCAATTGCCATCGAGTGAGGTGATTCATTTGGACATTACGTAAATCTGGATCTGGCATGGTATGCAGTGAACCTCTAGTCAAGAAGTGTGCTGGTGTTAGCGCTTCTAATTCTATCTTCCGATAATGATGTCAATGGTCTCGAATTCATACATCCCTCCACCTGTGCTAAGAGAGTGACGAAATCTTCTTGCGACACTGGATTGCCACCGAGAACTCGCAAAAGGTGGTACTTCGCAGAACGTACCGCTGCCTCCCATAATCCACCGAAATGTGGGGCGCTCGAAGGATTGAAATGCCAAAAAATACCTTCATTCGCACATTCTTTTGACACTGTCTCACGATGTTCTTTGCCTTTCAGTAACGCGATCAGCTCCTGAATTTGATTCCTGGCACCAACAAAATTTGTACCATTGTCCGAGTAGATATCCTTACTCCGTCCTCGGCGCGCGAAGAATCTTCGTAACGCTTGAAGAAACCGTTCTGTCGAAAAATCAGAGACGAACTCCATATGAACTGCTTTCGTTGCCATGCACACGAAGATTGCAACGTAGCCTTTGGTTGGTTGTCGCCACGTCCTGCTCGGGTGTATACTGGTCCGAAGAAATCGACTCCAGTCTTGAAAAACGGTCTCGAAACTGTAACTCTAGCAGCCGGTAACTCGCCCATTTGCTGCTGGATGATCGACGGTCTCGCTCAGAAACATCGTTGGCACTGACGAACAACCTTCCGCGCAAGATTTCTACCACCTAGTGGGCAATACCGTTGCCGAACCGTACCTAAAAGTAGTCGGGGCCCAGCGTGAAGATGTTTATGGTGATAAAGGCGTAACACTAATTCCGTGAATGGATGTCTAGCCGGTAAAACCATTGGGTGTTTCGTCTGTTGCGATTCCTCGGAATGCGCTAGTCTACCACCAACTCGCAGGATACCGTTTTAATCGATTTGAGGGTTAAACCATCGCAAGGGCGAATTTCGACGAACGGGAGAGCCTGATGACAGATGCTTGATCTCCTCCGAGAATGATTTCACTTGCACCTTCCGGATGATCGCACATTCGGCTAGGTTCAGCTCGCTAGTGGATATAAAACCTGTCCGTCTTTGTTCTTCTGGACACCGTAAGTTGTCCATGAAACGTAGCCAGTAAGCTGTTGTGCGAATTAGCCTAGTAAACGATGAGAACTTCACTAAGTAATCCGAAACGAATTCTCTTTCCATCGACGAAGCGCAAACCACCACATTGCGTCATCGTTCTCTTCTTCTGGTGGGTTTCCAGCTCCTTTCAGCCATTCTTCGGGAGGGTCCTCTAACCAGGTGGGCCCATGCCACCATAAGTCGTTCTCGAGAATATCTTTCGGAGCGATTCTGCGTGAAATTAGGTCAGCGGGCTTGGTGCTTTCCGAAACATGTCTCCAATTGTTTTCCTCTGTCAGCGCTTGAATTTTGGCGACCCTGTTCGCCACGAAAGGGGTCTACGTTCCTGGAGAAGAATGAATCCAGTGGAGAACACAGGTTGAGTTCGACCAGAAGTGAACGCTGCCGTCTGCCTTCAGAGATCCCGCTACCTTTTCCCAAAGCTGAGCCGCTAGAAGAGCACCACATAGCTCCAACCGTGGTAGTTATTGTACCTTGAGAGGTGCTACCTTTGATTTCGAGGTCAGAAGGTGCACCGAAACCGAACCATCTTGTCGTTCACTCCGAACGTAGATTGTCGCACCGTAAGCGAGAATTGATGCATCTGAGAAGCAGTGGTTTTGCACGGACACCGCTCTTGGTGCTATGACACACCGTTTTATGCGAAGCATGTTCAGTGCAGAAATTTGCTTGTGAAATGCTCGCCATTCCTCACCCACCGTTACAGGTAGTACGATTGCAGACATTGCCCGTGTTCGCTCTTCAAACACCAGTGCCTTTGTATGAATATTTTCGCTGCTGTGATCGTCGCACCGAGTAGTCCCAGTGGATCAAACAATCTCGCAATGAAGCAGAGCACTTGTCGCTTCGTTAGGATCTGGTCATCCGTTAGTGGTAGTATCGTGAATGAGAACTTGAAACAGTCCACGTTGGGAAGCCAGGTCAAACCCAATGTTTTTACCTCTGCATCCTGGTCCCAGTCGATCCCATTAGAATCCGGTAGCGCCAAATTCTCCTTCGGAATGTCTTCAAGAACAGCGGGACAGTTTGAGGCCCATTTTCGCAACTTGAATCCTCCACTGTTCATAATTGCGTCGATTTGTCGCCTCAATTCAACCGGAGATTCGACGTCGTCTGCTCCAGAAATAACGTCGTCCATATATACGTCCTCTTCTACTGCTGGTGCAGCCAAGGGAAACTGCTCTCGTTCATCACTTGCCAGCTGCTTCAACGTACGAGTCGCCAGATACGGTGCTGATTTGGTGCCATATTTCACCGTCAGCAGTTCATACGCTACAATGCTTCCATCGGTTCCCAACCAAAGAACGCATTGAAAAGGAGTGTCGATCAAGTTCGTCCAAATCTGTCGGAACATCTTCTCAACGTCGGCTACAACCATCACCTGACGTGTACGACTGCGGAGAACAATTGACCGTAAGTCCTGTTGTACCACAGGTCCAGCATAGAGGGCATCGTTCAGCGAAATCCCAGAAGACGTCTTACACAAAGCATCGACGACCACCCTTACCTTGGTCGTGGTGCTTGACTTCTTGATTACAGGATGATGTGGCAGGAAACATCGTTTGACTGTCCCCTCCTCATTATTGTCCACTCTTCTAATGTGACCGAGCTTGAAATATTCGGTCATGAAGTTTAAGTATTGCTTCTGAAGGTTTGGATCCTTTTTCAGTTGCTGTTCCACAGCTCGAAGACGTCGTAGCGCGATGTCTCTCGATTCGCCTAGTTCCGCTAAAACATTGTCGTTCTTAGGGAGAGTAACGCTGTATCGGCCATCCGAATTCCGTTCGACTGTGCGCTCGAATTGCTCTTCGCAGCGCGTCTCGTCCGGAGATAACTTGCTGACGGCTCCCACTTCCTCGCAGGACCAAAACCGTGCCATTAGCTCCTCCAGATTGCTCGATACCGACATGTTGCATGAATATCTCGCACCATGATTTGATGTAGCGACCTCACCTGTCACTATCCATCCGAAAACTGATTTGGTGAGTACTAGCAGACCGGTTCCCAGTGGAACCTCCCTTCCGGATGGGAAGAAGCTGAAGAAAGCTTGGATGCCCATGACCAAGTCGACCTTTCTTGAGCGGAAGAATTCTGGATCTGCCAGTTCGTCGTCTGCCGGTGTGTCCCATCCATTTTCCTGAACGGCAGAAGTAGGCAGACAAGCTGTGACCTTCGGCAAGACGAGAAAATCCATCGGTCTAGAGTACGACGAGACTCGAGACTTGACGACGGCTTGAATCTTTCGCTTGACCCTCGTTCCGGATTGTCCGATGCCCAATATTGAAATATCGACCTTCTGGCTAGGAACCTTCATCAACTGACTCAGACTTTTAGAAATGAAGTTGCATTCCGACCCGGAATTTAATAGCGCACGTGCCGGATAACGAGAACCCTGGCTGTCCTCTATCACAACAACTGCTGTAGCCAGAAGTACCTGCGATGTCGGAAGCTGCGCCGTGTTTGACGATGCTGTCTCGACCGATGCTGCATTCACTGCCTTGAGATCAGAACTCGAGTCGTTCCGGTTGCCACTATTACCCGAATTGGCCTTCTCGGGTGATCCATTCCTACTGCTTCTTCCTTCGCCCTTGAAGCACAGCAGTGTGTGGTGTCGAGCCTTGCAGTTGCAACACGAGAACTTTGACGAGCAATCTCGAGCTAGATGTCCTCACTTGAGACAGTTTCGGCAGAGTGACTGTGCTCGTAGAAACGACTCCCTGCTGGACAGCGACATTTTCAGGAAGGCTGAACACGTATGAAGTCCATGAACCTCCGTACACGATGGGCACTTAGCGGTATTCCATTGTACGGCGTTGTGGCTGACCTTCGGTGAAAACGACTTCCGTTTGGGTTGTTGCGGCTCGTTTTTGAGTTCCGCCTTCGCTGGCAGAGACTCGAGGATTTGAATTCTCCGTTGTAGGAACTCCTGCAAGTCCTGTAGAGTGTCTTGCTCCTTAGTGGACGTGTGTTCCTCCCAGCCACGTCGAGTGACTGGACGAGAACTCAGCAGTTCTACCAGCAACAAATCCTTATATTCGGCTGGTTCGATGACTTGATCCAATATCTGAATCGGTCGAATCCATCAGCCAATCTGTGGAGATCCGTGACCGATTCCTTGGCGAGTGAAGGTAGTTTGACCAGCACTTGTACCTGTTTCCTCTTTGGTAGCTTACTGTTGTTGAAACGTTTTAGCAATGACTCCCAAGCTATTTTATAATTTACGCTAGTTATCTTTAGCGGATCGACTAGCGCCTTAGCTTCGCCTGCTAAGCAACCTTTCAAATAGTGAAATTTCTCCACATCCGGAAGTTTTTCCTTCTCATGGATCAAGGACGTGTAGAGATCCCTGAAACTCAGCCAGTCATCGATGTCTCCGTCGAAAGTCTGCAGCTTGATTTGCGGCAGGCGTACACGGTCCATTGTACCATATGTACTGGCGGCGTCCGCACTCCGTGTTGGCTGGTATAGTGCTGATTCTTCCTGGAACTTCTTGGCCTTCTCCATCAAGAACGATTTCGCATCGTAGTAGCGATTCTCGAACTCCAGTTGCTCCTTTTCGACACTTTCTTGCTCTTCGTAGTCCTCATGCAATTCGATTTCCCAAGAAGTCTCACTAATTTGCTCCCACAACAAATCTATACGTTCGAGGCGGACATTGACCTGACTAGCTGTTGTACCCTCTTTATAATACCTAACGAACTGACTAATGTTGTTTAACGACGCTCGAAGACCCTTGAGTTTTGACTTCAACACCTCCTTGAAGGTTGACCCGGTAATCTTCGTTGACATGGTTGTTTTTGGAGAATCACGGTACGGAAACGAAGAACCAAGAGCCAGTCGTAGGTTGGTAGGTACTAGTGATGCGTTGCTCCACGAGATGTTTGGCGAAATGTTGAAAGATCCGAGAATCGATAGGAATCGGCGATGTAGTTTGCAAATTGTCTGCTTCGGCTGGACATATACTGTTCAACTCACCTGTGAGAAGAACCAGTGGTGCTACCGAAGGCAGATAGCAGTAAATTCCAAAACTGTACACCTCAAAACGTTTGATCGGGAATCTCGGATTTCAATTCGAGCCAGTGAAGAGCGAAGAAGTGGAAAAGCGAATGTGGTAATAAATATTTGAGCTTCGGCTGAACATATACCGTTCGGCTTACCTGTGCAAACGACAGCCGAATCCAAATTGCCTCAAAATCACGATAACTATCCTTTCGAACCACGAAGTTGTAAAGCTTATTCTCACCTGGAGAACTACAGATGGTGCTGAACATCACGCAGTATGTAAAGTAGCAGTCCGAAAACAAAACAAAACCTCAGGGCTTGCGATCGTGAATGAATTGACTCCAATAGTCCAAATAGCATCGAAAGGTTGAATATTTATTAGGTGTAGGATCAATAAATTTCAGCTTCAGCCGGGCATATACTGTATTTATGTATTAACCTGGCCAAGATGACCGTTGCACGATGCCCGATCCTGAAAGCGTGATGTGTGTGTGTCTATTGTCTGGTCATAAGGAAGTAGCACCAGAATCGTCATCGACCGTCCTCAATCGCCACCGAATTCCTCAAATGGTGCCCAAAACCAAGTTCTTCGAGAACTGATTCACCACTTCGACGTCTGTAAGCACTCATCGATTTGCCAACAATAACACAAGTCGAAATGTGGGTGTTAGTTTGGAAATTTTGTCACTTCGGCGGACATATACCAGTTCTTACATACCTGAGTGGTAGCAGAACAACGCTCTGGTTGTCCTACAATCCTGATGATTGTCGAAAGTGACCGAGTAGAGCCAATATCCACTTATGGAAACTGGTTGCACTAGCTGGAGACGATTCTGTTGAAGAACGATGGCGACCTTCCTCTCTGTTCCACAGCTAATCGATGATTTTCAGCGATGGTGGGTTTCCCGATGTAGGATAATAGGTGATGTTGTTTGGTTGCAATAGATCCTTTCACGTAATTGACAATGGCGATCGAATCCTTTGATCCATTTAAAAGATGGCGATTGGTCTTTTGTGGCTTACGAGGCTGGCGGTTTGGTGCTCGTACGATGGCGCACTTCGATCGTACCTTGGTCAAATCATAGAGATTTGGCCGATCCAAAGTCCACCGGCAGTAGAAAACCGGTTCGAAGGACCAATTTATGTCGGGGACCATCCCGACCGATTGTTGTTGACTTCTACTTGCCCGGTGAACGTACCCTTTCCTTCCTTCCTTGTAGAATCCGTATCCTTTCCTCGAACAAATCCTTCTGTCATCCGTAGACCTTCCTTCACTGCATACAGAACACTACACCCTTTTTCACAAAATACCGTTTATTTTACAAAGGCACAACATTGATTTTATTTACTAGACACTACATTTATTCTTACTAATTGTCGTGCTCGCGTCGCTTGCTCGCCATCTTCAAACGTCCGTAGTTTTCGAAAATAACCAACTGAATGATCTCACATGAACAGTTCTACCTTGATGATACAGCCATCCACGCGACATTACTCATTTCTCTTTTCGTGATTCTCTCGCTATCTCCCTCTGCAGCACAAGAATCTCCTGTTCACTTTAACACGGTATCGACAATTAATTCTCTCCGGCTTTCTTTCTCACTCCCAACCTATTCTCCCAATTCCATTATTGAGACCGAAGTTTCTGAATCATGGCTCCATGCTCCACGAGCTTGTTACTGTTCGTGCTTCGTGCCGGATTTCCAGTAGTCCTTTCTGTTCGAGCAAGTGCTCGACTCTCGATTTCGAACTAAGATCTGTGCGATATGTTTGAATATTTTGCATTCGAAGAGTTGCACACTTGTCTCATTGTATTCATATAATTCTGATATACACTCTAACCACTACATTATTCTTCTTGTCTACTCTTACACTTCGGGGTTTTCCTTTCTTCAATATCATACTAGATGTGGTTTGTTCAAACAACTTCTTGAACGAAGGCTACGACTCGTCTGTCCTTGCACAACATCTGTTTAAAACCTTGGAGTCACCTCTATCTCTGCTTCTTCTTCATCAGGTAATTCGATCATTCCATTTTGCGTCTCAGTTTCCATCCTGTTTTGTTGATGGCTTTATTCACCAAGTATGCTTTTGTGAATAACTCAATGGTTCGATCTTGAATGAATGTTTTATTGCATAAAAACTTACTAGCTAAGTTACATAGTTCTTGATATTGATCGAATGCATATCGATCCTTACTTACACACTTACAAGTAAATAGAAAGGGATGGATAGAGTTGCGCTGTGCCAGTCAGTTAGTTAATAGGAACCAGATGGGTTCAGTAAAGTACAATGCATAATGCTGGCTGTTACTTTGCAGTTCGTTCGCATTTGTGTTCTCACGCCACATGTTGGGCTGTGAAATGTAAATTGACCTGAGTATGGTTCGGGTCTGTCACCTCGAGTGGTTTCAGATTTCAGTACATGTTGAGTTGTTTGAGTTGCAGTTTTAGGAATGTTGGAAAACAAGGGTGGTCCGTTTTAGGTAATGATGTAGGCACAGCACATCTACCCCCATTCGTTGATACAATGTTAAGTTATGATTTTGGATTTACGTTTTATTTGACATTTGTTTGATTCACTTAATTATTCTATTTTTATGTACCTTTTGGAGTTCCTTAGCGACCAAGTTTTCTATCGTTACATTTGGGTGATCTATGTTTATAATTTTAAATGGGCCTGAATAAACAGAATCAAGTTTTCTACGATTTTCTACTTTAAGCCAGACTATGTCTCCAACTTTTGTTTCTAATGGATTTGATGTTTGTGATTGATTTTTAATTCTTATTATTTTTGATTTATCGAATAACGCTTTTGCTTTAGCACATGCTGTTTGAATTCTATATTTCATTTCTGTAACGTATGAATCTGTGTTGTATACTGAATCGATTTTATTAGTTAGGCTGTTTGGAAATTGAAATTGTCTTCCGAATACTAATTCAAATGGTGAATAGTTGTGCTCAGTGTGCGGTGTGGTGTTGTAATGAAAAGTGTAATAAGGCAACCATGAATCCCAGTCATCATGCTGCTCATTTATGAAATGTCTTAAATATTCATTTAGACATCTATGGTTTCGCACTAAACTTGCTATTGTTTCAGGATTGTAGGCAGTGGAAAATTTCTGATTGATCTGAAGTAAGTTACACATATGGTGAAACACTTCGTTTCTGTATTCCGTTCCCATATCTGTTTTAATAATGGATGGGCATCCATATTTTAATATTAAATTTTCGACGAAAGCTTTGGCTAAAGTATTCGCCTGTTTATCGACTATTCGACTAACTATAACGTATTTTGATAACTCGCATTGAATGGTCAATGCATATCGATTTCCTTTAGTGGATCTCGTAAGTGGACCAATTGTATCCATCGATATTATTTGAAAAGTTCCATTGGGTGTTGTTGTGTGAATGAAGGTTTCTTTTGTTTTAATTGTGTGCTTATTCTGCTTACAGATAAGACACGATTTGACATATTTAGTAATTATTGACTTCATATTAGTCCAGTAGTAATTCCGTCGTAATTTTTGTATAAGTTTATTTATACCTACATGTCCTCCTAAGGGTGTCACGTGGTTTTCTTCGATGATTTTCATGATTTCATTTTCATTTTTTATAATTTGCGCTGGATGATACAGTACCAATTGTACATTTTTTCAAATCTTTATTACATTCCTGTTTAAAAGTTTCAGGTGTAAACATTGTGAATATCATGTCTCTTCTTGCAATTGCTAGCTTTTTAACTTTGATTTTCTTGGCCATATCATTTATAGCATTGAGGTACCTTTTGAGATTTCTTGTTTTAACTGCATAGGGAAATTGCGCTTGAGCAATAACCCTTTTCGCATTTTTGTTGTAAATTGTTACATATATGTCATTTTGTTGAATTGTAAAGTTAAGTTTTGGCATGTTAAATGCATCGATATTGTTTATAGAATCATATGCTTTGAGGTGATCAATCTCGCTGGCAGTTTGTAACCGTTCTTCCACTGTTCTCTGAGAATGCTTCAAACGCAGTGGCTTATGCGCCACTCTCGAGTTTGAGAGACCACTGGTCGTGTTTATTTAAGGTTGCCCGACTTAGCTATTGTTGCAGGAGAGCAAATCTCTAGGGTTTTCCGAACGGTTTCGAGGTGAATTCAAACGCAAAGTGAACTAAAAATGATTGCAACCGAAAACGAATGCAAAGCGGAACGTAACGCTGAAGTCACCCGGTGGACTGATTTACCACAGGGATCTTGAACGTAAATGAATGTAAAAAGGTAAGCTATGTTGAACTCATTTTATGTATATTGTCCTTCTTTTCTTAATCATTGTGTGTGAGTGTGTGTGTTGTATTGAGTGTTCATGGCCATGAATGGAACATACCTGCGCAGGGTTTTACTGATGGGCTGGCAGCTGACAGTGCGGCAAGCGGGGGGCGCACGGATACTGTGCGATGATTTAACGGTGTAGCGATGGTTTCGTTCGTAACGAAAGGGATGCCATGCAGCAGGGATGTAGCGTCGACGGTGGATGCTCACGAAAACGAGGGCCGAACTAAAGGTGCGGGGGAGGTTGTCGGTGGATGTCGGTACTCTACCAGATCATCCGTTCAAGGTAGCCAACGTGCTCCTAGTGGCCTTCACGTACTCTGATTCCGTTACGCAACCACTATGGAACGGAATGAAACTACCCCTATTGATTCAACCATGAACTAAAAAAAAACCTATTGCATTGGAAACGGTAATTATATTCAAATTTTAAAAATGCTATAACATTATAGCATGCGATGGATTGGATTTTTAG